CACATCAGATGCGCTCCACTTCCGTCCTCTGATTTCGAACAACTTGAACTTCCTTTCTCCTTGGTGTGCTCATCAGATGCACGTCAGATGCAACTGCCATAATCATCTTCCTCTCCCAGTCAAGGTAAGTTGATGCACTATTAGTGCCTTGAAACGAGGGGATTGAGAGCTTAATCCCTCGAATTGGTTCAACGCCATAACCTCCTGCTTCCGGTGGTCTTCCTCCATATTCATAATATCATTCTCATAGTCATTAAATGGAGGTATGTTCTGCGGGATTTCCTGACGACGTTGCTTCGTGTATTAGCGCCTCTGCATCTGCCAATCTGGGATCTCAGGAAAAGCTGGGTACACTCGATCTGCTCTTGGACCCTCTCAGTTTGCAGCTCTAGTTTAAGCTGCGATAACTACTGGATTCTCGGGTGGTAGTGGATTACCAATTGGTTGCGTCTCCAACCTAGTGATTAGGGTATCCAATCTCTGATTATTCTTAACCAACTGACCTTTGGTAGCGGCCTGCTGGGCCTGAAGCAAGGCTCCCATTTGTGCCATCTACGCGGCAAGCAACTTCATAGCTTCTGCAGGGTTCTGACTCTGCTCTCCCTTGACTGGTTCTTCGATTGAGGTTTCTTCTTCAGAGAGAGATTCCTCCTCTTCTCTACGTTCTGCAATAGGATATTTGGACCTCGTTCGACAAGCAACACGTTCTTTCACTTTCAATCCTACCACTGTGTTGAACCGGGCTCTGATACCACCTGATACGAGCACGGAGCCTGTACCCGTAGTTATCAAAGTACGCAACTTCAAGGACGAAAAATAGAACGTCTGTTTAGGGGTTTTTGTCTGTAAGGATAGGGTGGAATTGAAAGTGCAATCTCAACACAAATTTGGGAGAAGGCTCAATCAATATAAAAGATAGAATCTCCACAATCAATCAAGGTTAAACCTTGATTGATATAGAGAAAAAGTTTAAGCCTCAATCTCAAAACCAAGATATAAATAAATATTCTGCTAAAACTAACTCTAAAACCCGATGTTTCAGCCTTTATATAGGTCTGGAAAATTAAAAATAACAAAACAGATTAAACACACAAATTCCCGTCACCCATGCAAAATACGCGGTCGGAACTAAAATTACCCGGTCGGGTATTTAGACTCCTCGACCGGGGGGCCTTCTGCCCAAAATGCCAATCCGCTGCAAAATACCCAATATGTGCCCAAAATACCCGATCGGGTATTTAGTATGCTTGGTCAAGTATTCCCCCTCCGCCAGCCCTTCTTCCGCTGCTGCTGCGGCCGCATCAGGGTCAGAGTTTCAGGTTTAGAGTTTGGGTTTTGGTTTAGGGTTTGGAAGACGACATTGATATTAGCTAGTGTGTGGTGGATATTTGTCTGTGATGGTGAGGATAATAATTATGGTATGAACGGATAATAGTCTGAGACGGTGAGATATTAGTCTGGGCGGTGTAGATATTTGTGATGGTGAACGGATATTAGTCTTGGGTGGTTTGAATTTTTGTTCTGTGTGAAAGTTTATCTACCGTGGTTTTCAAGCATGAAGAAATAGTGTCAACACTCTATACAACTAGTATTCAAAGTCATTCCGACATTATGACAATTATGACATTCCAAACATAAAATATCACTTAAAAAATGCTTAGTTCAAGTGCTGACTTGCTACTCCAAACTGAGTGGTTACCGTGGTTTTGTTTGGTTTCAGATACTTCTAACCAATGAAACAAAATTAACTAGTTAATGGTTTAGGTTTAGGTTTAGAGTTTGGGGTTTGGGGTTAATGTTTTTAGGTTTAAGGGTTTAGGTTCGGGTTTTGATTTAGGGTTAGGGTTTTAAGATTAGGGTTCAGGTTTATGGTTTAGAGTTTTGAGTTTTTGGTTTGGTTTAGAGTTTAGGGATTATAATTTATTGTTAGGGTTTAGAAGATAATATTGCGGAAATGATTATGAGCACAATGTAGGGTGGTTTGATATTTGTTTGTGGTGATAGGATATTGTTATGTGATGGGGAATATTAGTTGCAATGTGTGGATGTTTGTCTATGTGGTCGGATATTAGTCTGCGACGATCGGACATTAGTCTTTGTGTGACGGATATTAGTCTGTGGTAGTGAGAATATTAATTTTGGGATGACTAGATATTAGTCTGAGACGGTGGGATATTAGTTTGGGTAGTATGGATATTTGTTATGAAGAACAGATATTAGTGCGACAGTCGGATATTAGTCTGGTTGGTTTGGATATTTGTTTTGTCTAGAAGTATTTTTCACGAGCTAATATCAATTTCAAACCAACTAGTATTCATGTCTGGTAAATAATATTCCAGAATAACAAACTCAAATCCTTAATAAAAAGATTCATTTGATCGACAAACCGCGATAAAACTAGTATTTGATGCCATTACAACTTGGCAATCCCAGAATTTTAAATCTGAAAAAGCACAACTACATAAGAAATGAGAAAGCAATAGTTCAACTGTTGTCTAGCTGGTCTTAACGCTCGATAATATTTTTGAGTGCGTCGTCCCGAGCCCTCCACATTTGGATCATGCTCTCAACCATTGACTTTATTGCCGCAAGCTACATACGTTGTCAAATATTTAGTTTACTCGATGCAACCATGTCTCTTAAGTAGCAAAGACAACTTCTATGTACCTGGTTTATGTTAAGCTTGTCAAAATCTTTGTTTTTCTAGCATGATGCTTCTGGATTGAGCCAGTGATTCATCTCCGCCTTCCCTTCCCTTGGAGGAGCTGGCATCGAACACCTTTTGGATCTTGTCATCTTGCACAATTTCCGAAAAGAGCTAATATCGTTGAACTAATATCCATATAGGGCATAAAAATATCCATACCTAGCATACGACTAACTATGCATCACATAACTAATATCCGGACAATCAACCACCAAACAATATCCACATTAAACTAAAGGGTATTCCATGTCAGCTAAACAAGTTTCTAGGTCAACAAACTACCAAATTAATGAGCAAAATCTAGAAACCCCCAAACAATATCGACATTCAACAAAATGGTATCCCATGCATGCTAAATAATATCACAGGTCAACAAACTACCAAATTAACGAGCAAAATCCAGAACCACCGAAACAATGTCGACATTCAACAAACTGGTATCCCAGACATGCTAAATAATATCACAGGTCAACAAATTACCATATTAACGAGCAAAACTCATACCCCCAAACAATATTCACATTAAACTAAATGGTATTCCATGCAAGCTACACAATTTTCCAGGTCAAAACTACCAAATTAACGAGCAAAATCCAGCAACCCCCAAACAATATCGACATTCAACAAACTGGTACCCCATGCGTGCTAAATAATATCTCAGGTCAACAAACTACCAGATTAACGAGCAAAACCCAGAACCACCCAAACAATATCGACATTCAACAAACTGGTATCCCATACATGCTAAATAATATCCCAGGTCAACGAACTACCATATTAACTAGCAAAACTCAGACCCCCCAAACAATATCGACATTCTACAAACTGGTATCCATGTATGCTAAATAATATCCCAGGTCAACAAGTTACCAAATTAACGCGCAAAACCCAGAACCACCCAAACAATATTGACATTCCTAGTTCTCCTCGCAGCCGTCGTCGTCTTCGTCCTCGCGCTACCGGCTTCGTCGTCTTCCTTCTTGCTTGGACGTCGTCGTCTTCCTTCAAGCGCCGCTACCGGCGTTGCCAAACACCACCGTCTTCTCCTCCCGTCGTCTTCTTCCTGTCCGTAACCCTCATCGTCGTCGTCATATTCCTCACAACCGTTGTTGCCGAGAGGTTTTTTGCGTTATCAAGAGAGAGAAGAAGAAGAAGAAGAGAAGAGAAGAGAAGAGAGAAAAGGCAGTCGATAGTTTTGGAGAGTGGGAGAGAAAGAAAAATGAAATGATGGAGAGAGAATAGGAGATTGAACATAAATAAAAAAGTGAGATTTTTGAATTGTGGGATCCATTTTTTTAATTATAGGAAGATGTTTGGTTCAGCCGAGCCACACGCTGCTCTCCTCCCCTCACATAGTGGCGCCGGTCCCCTTTTATCGTCCGATCACGACTGTACATGGGCGATGGGCCGTGCTTGGGCCGGCACGGCACTGGCACGCTTGAGGCCCATTTATTTCGTGTAGTGCCGTGAAAGCCCATTTGTTAACTTTGCTAGGCCCGACCCAAGCCCGAGCATGGTTGGAATCGTGTCGTGCCTATTTGTGCTCGATTTCGTGTCTAATGAAAAGGAAGAAAATAAAAGAGAGAATGAAAAAGAAGGCGAAAATTGGATGAAGAAAGATAGTATTAACCGAGAATGTTTGAGAAAAGTAACAAATAAGGGGAAAAAGAAAATTGGAAGTCTAGCGTGGGTGATTTGGCTTTGTTTAATTCTTCGTCCATTTTTACTTATGGTAGTAATTACATATATATCTTTATGACACTTCTAACTACAACAAATAAGTATTTTTCTACTTGTATTTTGTAATATTTGAACCTATAATTCTTTCTATATCTATTTTCTATCAAATAAATGTTATTTTTGTGCCATGTTCGTTCTTATACTCAATAAAATCTCAAAAATATTAGGCCCAACACGGCCTACTTATATACCGTGTCGTGTCCGTGCTCGTGCCCATGAAATTTAGACCCTGCACGACCCATAAATTATTCGTACTCGTGCCGGGCTGGCCCATTTATTTCGTGCCCGTGCTCGTGCCGTGCTTTAACCGTGCCGTGTCGTGCTAGCCCGTGGACGGCCCAGCCCGATGCCCACATACAATCACGGCTCGCCGACGTAGCCTCAGATCCGACCCTGTTAGTTTATACTAACTACTTGTAGAGTTAGCAGAATAGCTATGTTGGGTTAATGGAGTCAAAGGTTGTTCAAGAATCATTGGCGTTTCCGGGACAGTGGATGAAGATGGTAACCGGTCGAAACCCGTGCATGGTTGCTTGCTAGTGCTAGTTTTCTCCTCGAGTATTGTGGATTGGACTATCCGCCCTCGCGCTCCCACTTAAACTAAACCCTCGCAAAATCCCATTCTCTAGTCTCTAGTGTCTACCCGCCCGCCTACAAAACCAGCAAAAGCAGCACAAATGCCCCAATGTCTCGCCAATCTGCGCCTGCTCTTCTTCTCCCGTCTCAAACCTTCTCCTCTCTTTCTTTCTATTCCTTCTAACCTTCGCCACCGCTCTTTCCTCCCCATCCTTTCTTCTTCTTCCTCACATTCTCGACGGCAGCGTTCTTCTTCTACCCCGCCCAACCGTCGCCAGCAGCAGCCCTCCAGTTTCAGAAGCAGAGGGAAGAGCACGTTAGGTGATAAGGGCAGAGGAAATCGGGAGGAAGGGGGAGGAGCTTCAATGGGGGATAACGGCCGTGGTGGTGGTAATTTTGCAGGGTTCAATAAGAAAAGGGCTGAGGGTAGAGATGAAAGTGACAGGGCTAGGAAGAATCTCCACTTGAAAGTCCGGAGGCTAAACCCTACCAACACTATCTCTTATGTACAGGTATCCAAACTTCTGGGCTTCACTTTGCTCTCTCTCTGCGCATCATTCGTTTTCTTAGCTATGAACTGATGAGAGCTATGTGAGTGTCATAAAGATGGAACCTTTTCATTGTGGGCCTTAATGGTTAATGGGCAATCATAGCTTTGGTCAAAGCTTTTGCTGCGTTTCGTGAATGTTGATTTTGGGAGATTCATTTATGTAGGACGCGGGCGAAAGAGAAGCCTCTTGGTTGTGTCCTTGAATTAGCTTGTGCACAATTTGTTTGCTTTAACTACCTGTAGATGAAGTTTACTGTCGCTGCCTCTTATTGTGAGATATCAAGTACACCAGGGTCTGCTTTATTCTTGGTTGTTGGTCATATTGAATGAATTTTTCTATCTTCCCAGATTCTTGGAACAGGAATGGACACTCAGGATACTTCGCCTTCGGTGTTGCTCTTCTTTGACAAGCAAAGATTCATTTTTAATGCTGGGGAGGTAAAGACAGCTACAAACACATCGTTTTCTTCTTAATTTTTCTGGTAGTTGCTTGTTTGTGGAAGTTGTAGAGGACTGCATACATTTGGAATACAATTGCCTTCCTGTATCATCGATACTGTATATGAGCATAAGAAACTAGTTAGTTCGTCTGAGCAACTTGATGTTTATTTGCCATGCTTGTAAGGGGTGGTGACTGATCATTGAGATTTGGAGATGTGGATTATATGGTAGTAAATGCTATTTTAGACTTCTTGATGAAGTTATTATGCAGTGTGTATTCTGTTGTTCATTGTCCCGAACCAGATGCTTAAGGAATGATGTCATTTTCTGGGTCTGTTAAGTAGTGAAATGCCCGAGGTTACAGTGTATAGGCTTCTATATTCGCAAGGTCGTATTCTTACCACCATGTGAAATAGAAAAATAGATGCAGAATCAATCCTTATGAGCATGTGAGAAAGTTAGATTAACTCAGGGTCCACTTCATGTGCAGGGATTGCAACGATTCTGTACAGAGCATAAGATTAAGCTATCAAAGGTATGTGTTACCCCAGATCATACTGTAACAAGTGGGTAGTTGATGTTTGTTCTTACTTTCATCAGCATTCTGGCTGAATTCTTTGCTTGGTAATTATTACCTCGATCCGACAAGGAAAATTAACTCTCTGTGCTCTTTTTTATTTCAGATCGATCATATATTTCTTTCCCGTGTCTGCTCCGAAACAGCTGGTGGAATTCCAGGACTGTTGTTAACTTTGGCTGGCATTGGAGATGAGGGAATGTCAGTAAGTATCAAAATCTCTTTTGTACATATTGAAGTTCTTTTCTTAGATATTTAAACCCATGTTGGTTCTTCTAGCTTAAACTTGGGTAAGAAAATGATTGTTAGAAGACCACACACATTACTGAAATGATTTTGTGTACCTTCTCTTTTAAGGTCAATGTATGGGGTCCTTCAAATCTAAAGTACCTGGTAGACGCAATGAAGTCTTTCATCCCACATGCCGCAATGGTCCACACAAGAAGTTTCGGTCCAGATGCACCTTCTCATTTGGACGCAAGCAAATCAATGGACCCTATTGTGCTTGTAGATGATGAAGTCGTCAAAATATCAGCACTCTTACTCCGACCAAGATGTTCGCCAGGAGTATCTGAAGTAAAACCGGGCGATATGTCGGTTATATATCTCTGTGAACTGCCCGAGATTATGGGCAAGTTTGACCCAGGAAAGGCCAAGGCCCTCGGTTTGAGACCTGGGCCAAAATACAGCGAACTACAATCCGGGAAATCAGTAATGTCTGATCGGGACAACGTCATGGTCCATCCGAGTGATGTCATGGGACCTCGTGTGCCAGGTCCCATTGTGTTCCTTGTCGATTGCCCGACAGAGGGTCATGTATATGATCTGTTATCGACATCGTCTCTTGATAGTTATTGCTCTGGTAATTCGCCTGAGGAGGATAAGACAGTCAACTGTATCGTCCATTTGAGCCCTTCCTCAGTGATAGGCAGTCCCAGTTATCAGAAGTGGATGGAGAAGTTCAGCACAGCACAACATATTATTGCTGGCCACCAAACGTGAGTGAAATTTATTGAATGTTTCGTCTGATGAAGTGTCTGAACCAGTATATGTGCTTGATCTTTTGTTTGTTTCCTCTTTAACTTGTTTTTGTTTTTTTTTTTTACAGGAGAAATGTGGAAATTCCTATTCTGAAGTCCAGTGCCAGAATCGCAGCACGGCTCAATTACTTGTGCCCTCAGTTCTTTCCTGCCCCAGGATTCTGGTCACTGCATCCACTAACATTAGACTCTTCAGGCAAGGTTTGTGCAACTGTGACAGCGCTTCTTGATTCTTGATAGCATTTTTAATTTCGGAGCATGAAAATGACTTACCATTATTTTTTGGTTTTCCATCTATTGCAGGATGTTCCATCCATGGCAGACAAAAGTATATCTGCTGAAAATCTCCTCAAGGTAGAAACTTAGGCAACTTAGGAGACTTTTTTCTGAACTAAAGTTATTTCTTTTTCTCGTTTTATTAGCTTTTATTTGCTCCAACTTTTAAAAGTTGTTAACTTCGATGATCATACATATTCTTGCAGTTCACTCTGCGTCCACATGTCCAACTCGGATTGGACAAGGCTAACATTCCAACTCATCGAACCTCATCAGAAACCATAAGCGAGTTAATCACAGAGATCCCTGAAATCGTGGATGCAGCGAAACACGTAAGCGAGTTCTTTGACAAACCTCAACGAACTGGCTCTGATATGTTGCAAGACAATAACAGCAGCAATTTGACAGAAGAACCTTGGTTGGAAGAAGAAGAAGAAGAAGAAGAAGAAGAAGAAGAAGAGAAAAGAACAACACCGAGTTGCTTAGACAATGTAAGGAGAGACGACATGGAGATCGTTCTTCTAGGGACCGGTTCATCGCAGCCATCAAAGTACCGCAATGTCAGCTCTGTCTACATCAACCTGTATTCCAAAGGAAGTCTGTTGTTAGATTGCGGTGAAGGAACACTTGGACAGTTGAAGAGAAGGTACGGCGTGGAGGGTGCTGATGATGCTGTGAGAAAGCTGAGCTGTGTCTGGATTTCTCATATCCATGCCGATCACCATACTGGGTTAGCCAGAATCCTTGCTCTGAGACGAGAGCTTTTAAAGGGAACTGCTCATGAGCCATTGATCGTTGTTGGGCCAAGTCAGCTCAAGAGGTTTCTAGATGCTTATCAAAAACTGGAAGACTTGGACATGGAGTTTCTCGATTGTAGAAGCACGACAACAGGCTCTTGGGATGATTTTGTGAGCAACGGTGAATCGAAGGAGATCGATGACTCTACTGAGTCCACTCTGTTTGCTAACTTTAACAACCGTATGCAGAGTGTTTGGAAGAGACCAGTCGATAAAGCCACATATTACTCACTTCTGAAGAAGCTGCAGACAGTCCTGAATGAAGCAGGATTGGAATCTTTGATCAGTTTCCCTGTCGTGCATTGCCCTCAGGCGTTTGGCGTCGCATTGAAAGCTGCAGACAGATTCAACAGCGTTGACAAACGGATACCGGGATGGAAGATTGTCTATTCGGGGGATACCCGGCCATGCCCTGAGCTCGTGGAAGCATCTCGTGGCGCCACAGTTCTCATACACGAGGCGACATTTGAAGATGGGTTGATGGAGGAAGCCGTAGCGAGGAACCACAGCACGACGAAGGAAGCCATCGAAGTGGGGGACTCCGCTGGAGCGTATCGGTTAATCCTGACGCACTTCAGCCAGAGGTACCCGAAGATCCCGGTGTTCGATGATGCTCATATGCACAAGACGTGCATTGCTTTTGACTTGATGAGTGTTAACTTGGCTGATCTCCCTGTCCTTCCCAATGTCCTTCCTTACCTGAAGTCGTTGTTCAAAGATGAGATGGCTGTTGATGAACTGGACGAAGAGGGTCCAGACCAAGCTGCTGTAACGAGCGTTGTTGCTTGACAATGTTAATGAAGATTGTTCCGTCTTTCATTGGTTAGATGCCACATAAAAGGCGTTAAGTTGATTTGATTTTGACTCATTTACTCTTTAACAAATGAGTTCAAAATATGATATTATGTTTAATATAAGGGACCAATTTGATTTACCTAAATTGCAAGATTGATCACTGGGATTGCTAAAAAGGTTCACGTTTAGTCACTAATAATATTTAATTTCATTCGTAGTCACTAAAATTAGTTTAACAGTTCAAGTTTAGTCATTCTTCGTTAGTCTTCGTCAACTCCGTTAAATTGAGTCTGTTATTTGCTGATGTGGCTAACAAAACTGCCTAGTCAGCCCAATTTAATCTGATCCGTGACCTAACCAGTGAACCAACCCTCTCTATCTCTTCTCCTCTCTCTCTCTATCTGCGTTTCGTCTTCTAAATCCCTTCCCTCCCCAGCAAACCCATCGCAGCAACCCTACCGACTCCACCACCACCGCCAAGTCCCATCACCATCTTCTCTCGAGCCCCTCTTCCTTTCACCCTCTCCCATCCTGATGCGAGCCCATAAATCGATGCAGTCTGGTTTGTCTGCGCCAATCGAACTCGTCGCTGAATTCGGTATGACGCCGGGTATTTATCTGCTCCTACCTTGATCTGCTCTTGCCGAACTCGTTGCTGGATTTGGAGTCGGACTGGCCGCAGGCAATTAATGAAAGCTTGAACAAAGATGGGAAAGATGAAGGAGTAGTGCTTTGATTCGGAAAAATCTGAGAGAAGTTCACAGATGCCAAAGTTTTCAGATCTTCTTCCTCCCGTTTTCATCTCTAAAAATCGAGCTAACTTGCCGGCTCCCTCCATAGATATCCGCTACCGTCGTCATCCAGAAATAGAACCAACAGAGGAGAAGGAAGAAGGCTCGCAGGGGAGCAGATCCGCTCGACTCGAGGAGGGCGACCCAACCATCATTGTTTCAATCGAACCCAGAATCCAGCAATCGGACCCAAAAGCAGCCATAGATGAAGCACGTCGACGAACAAGAACAACGAACACAGAACGAGAAGTCAGCAGCAGTCACAGATGGAGCAGCCGAAAATCAATTAGTAGTGCTGGGTTTAGGAAGAAGTCGTCGCTGGAAATCACCCATCCTAGAGATCTCCTTTTCGTTTCTCCCCTCTGTTCCTTTTTCCTCTTCTTTTCTGGTATGTTAAGGGTGATTTCTCGATCCCTTCGAGCTTTGGGGCCATTTCACGATTTGTTTGCCATTTCATTTCTCATATGCCGTTGAAATGCTTTGGATGTGTGGGGTTTCTCTCGATTGATGGGATTCGGAAGAGAAGAATAGATGAATTGTAATTCTGTTTTGGGTTGGTGAAAATTGGCATTGGGTGTTTGTCAGCATTGGGTAACGGGTTGGGTTATCTCAATCTGACATGGCGGGTCGGATTTACATATTTTCGGATTAAATTAGGCTGATTAGGCGTTTCTGTTAGCCACGTCAGCAAATAACAGACTCAATTAACGGAAGTTAACATAGACTAACGGAGGGTGACTAAATTTGGACTGTTAAACTAATTTCAGTGATTACGAATGAAATTAAATATTTTTAGTGACCAAACGTGAACATTTTTTTATAATCTCAGAGACCAACCTTGCAATTAACCCAAATATTTTATATGGTTTTAAGTTGGGCCTGCAGCAAAAATATGTGTGTTTCCCTAAACTCGAACTTACTAATGCTTTGATACGATTTCTCTCATATCGCGGTCTTTTATCATGCTTAATCCTGACGAGATAGGCTATAAAAGGTGATAGGATTGCATAGGAAGCTGGTATTGGAATCAGCTGATAGCTTGAAGTCTGAGCTAATTAGGATCCATGCCATTCACTGATGCTTGGAAGGCCTTGGATGCTCTTGATATATTGGTAATATGCTCCGTGAGACACATATTCCGACTTCAACGGGTGACCAACTGATCATCCATTCATCTTAATGTTAATTGTAAGTTGTTGTTAATGTTTGCACCTTTTGATATTAACTGCAGAATTGTGGCTAGGTCAAATGTTCAAAAGGGAAGTGGTGTATGAGAAGTCGTACAAGAACAGGGATACACCAAAGTATGAAACATAGCTTTTGCCACATTACTTCAAGAAATAGGCGATCTGAAGCTTCTCCATCCTACCTTACAAGTCCATTACAATTTCAGGAAGCTGTTGATTGGTTGGTTATGATGGAGTGAATCCAATACTGCCAAATTGGCTGCGTTTTGTGCACAAAGGGTTTCAATTCCCCAATTGAACCCAATATGTTTTCTTATTGTGGTACTTCAATGAAAAAATCAATTGCTTCTTGATTAAGAACTCAGCTTATGGAAAAGATGGTATTATCAATTGGATAGTACAATCTCTGCCAGTGATGGGTCTTATCTGGTGCTCTCAAAGGTTATTGTCTACTCCGACCACTCCGCCATACGCTTCTTGATGAGCAAGGCAGACGCTAAGCCCCGACAAATTCGATGGATCCTACTTCTTCAAAAGTTTGGTGTGGAGATCAAAGACAAAAAGGGGGCCGAAAATCTTGCGGCGGACCACCTCTCGCGACTCGAAGGACCGGGAGGGGGCACCTCCCCAAGAGAGATAAATGACACCTTCCCCAATGAACAGTTATACTTGGGCCTTATGTGGGATTTAATTGTGATCTTCGGGACGAGTCAATAGTTCTTACGCTTGCTTATCTTAATCTCTCACATTATGGAGGGATGTAATTACTTGAAAAGCTTGGTGAACTCCCACACAATGGAAAGATCCAACTTATTAACTTGCACCAATCTAGCTTAGACTTGATTGCCTTAAAACTTAGTTTAAGGATGCTTCGTGATGCTATGCACACTTAAAGTAATGACTGAAAGTAAACAAATTAACCTAATATGAAAGCATATAAGGAATAACTAAAACATAAAACAAGAACTAAAATGAATAACATGAACTTAAATGCATAGACTGATAACGAAAACTACTCTAACCCCTAACTCCCTTTAACCACATGCTTAGCCACCACATCACCGATATTTAGTATACGACCCATTGTCATATGAAACGAGTTAGAAATCAAGTTAGGAATTTTGACCAAAATAGAAGAAGAAGAAGAGAGGAAAGGGGAAACGATGAAAAAGAGCACTTGCTCTGAAGATGCTCGACTAAGGGAAAGAATAAGAATAATAATTGGGCTGGAAAATGTTAAAGCCCAACAAACTAAACGCAAGGAAATAAGAGAAATTGAAGTGGACTTTCTCTACTTAAGCCCAGACGGAATAAGACACAAGAGAGAAAGCTCAGCTTCTCTTCTTCTTCCTTTGACCAGGAAAACAGAGACACACAACCAAGCAGAAAACAGAAGAATAAAACGGAATTGAAAAGAGAAGAACACAAGATTTAAAGAGGTTCTCAAACTACTGGTCACTCCTCGTGTCGGAAATAGCACCTACTAATTTGATTTTTCCTATCAAGCAAATGAAAAAGAAAAAAACCAAATAACCACCAGCCTAGTACACTCTATTTTTGTTCCTTCCCTCGTCTTGTGTGTTGTCGCCGCCATCGGCAGGGACCCTATCAATATTTATATATGATACTAATCCCTAGCTCCTTCTAATAACCCTCTTGAAGAAACTTCCTTCTACTTCTCTCCATGCGTGGGCTCTCACCCAATTATCTATTACTCAAGTCCCGTCATCATGTTATGTCCTTTTGGCCCAATCTTTTCTTTGAACGACTTGTTAAAATTATTAATTATTAATTTATTAATATATAAAAGCCAAAATTGTGAGTTACTATTCATTAGTAGCTCTCACACTCCATATTACAAATTGCTTCTTTTACTCCCACTCAAGATTCTAAAAGGCGCTAGGCGTAAGGCAGGTGCTCGGCTCCTGACTTGCGCCTTGCCCGATTAGGCGTAGCCTAGGCGCGTCTAGGCGTTCAGAGCATAAATGAAAAAATTCTCAAATATTTTATGTTTTCTGGAATAATTCATATAATCCAAGTTCATATAAAATTAGCAATGCCTAGTTCTTACAGTAAACACTTAACATAACAAATAACAAGCAAATAGTGACCAATCATCTGCTAATAGGTGCTTATAGAGGCAAGAACCTTGTGCTACGCACCGAGGAGAAGGAAGGAGCAGCAATTGACGAGTTTTGACTTTATTTCCCACTATAGCAGCGGAGCGGTGTGAAGGCGAGAAGAGTGATTGATGACTTTCTCCTGCGGCGACCGAGAGCATCGAATGGGGTGAGAGCTAGGGCGGCAGGCGGTAGCAGATGGGGCGAGAGCTAGGGTGGCAGGCGGCAACAAATGTTACTTCCCATGTTTCTGATTTTCTAGGGCAAGAGGCAAGTTTCTGATTTTCTAGGACAAAATGAAGAGTATTGGGTTTAACAGCCTAAGCTCGCCCAGACACGCCTTCTCTCCACTAGGCGCAAACTAAGCGCTATTCCTACCTACTAAGCGCTACTAGCGCCTTTTACAACGCCTATGGCCAAGTCAAAGCGATCCTCCACCGCCTAGCGCCTAATTGAGCCTAGGCGTGCGCCTAGGTGCGCCTTCTTGAACCCTGCTCTCACTATTCATTCTACAAGCTTTGTGTGTAGCTATTTTTTGCTAGGTTTACATCTATTGTCCATTGTGTTTCCCATAACAATTATTTCCTAATAGGTTTTCAAATATTATTCAATGGTTTCTCTATTGCAACTATTATCCACTAGGTTTCGTCTATGGCTTTTTGCACAAATCATCGCCTTTGCCCATCATTTCGCAGTCCATCTCGCAACACTGTCGGCAGAATCCTGAGTTATCCTCTTCCACTGTTTTCCACGGCCGCGAAAGAAGATCCATACCAAATATGCCCTGTCCAATCCTCGCCTTCGCTCACCAATTCATAACCTTGTTTAAAATACTGTCGGCGGAATCCTAAGTTGTTCCCCACCACCGTTTCCCAAGACCGCTAACACGAGGTTTTTATCGGGACCAGGTTTCATCCTATTTAATTTTTTTTCTTTTTCTTTATCCTTTTTGTTGAGCATGATCACAATTGAACTCAAACACATAACTATCCTAACTTGAACACAAATATTCGGCTTTTCACACCATTTCGCAACCCAGCTCGAAACAAGGTCAGTGGAATCTTG